TTCTCGCGCTGCTTGTTGTATGCTCATCATAGCGAGCTTCAGTCCGTAACGTACAATGCACCCTTTGACAGTCCAAGGGCAGGATGACCCACTCACCTCCCCTCCTGCACGTGCACAATAGTTTGCTCGCGCTCCCTGTTTACGTCGCTTCGGAATACGTGTATAATCCGGCGTTGGGCGACGCCCTCCAGCAGACACAAACTGGATTTAATTAACAAGTAACAGAAGCTACGATGTAGTGGACTGAATCGTGCCGTACAGAAAGATAGCAAGCTGTTGGAAATTCATGAGCAAGTACAAAGTAGCGCAGTATAAGAAGACTTACCCTCAGTCGGTAAGCTACGACGTAGTGGACTGAGGGAAAGCGCGAGACGATCGCTGTGTGGCTAGTCATTACCATATTAGGTAGTAGGCGCTTTAGTCACGTCGAACGGTTTGACCGGTCGACGACCGTGCAGGGTGCTGTATGCGCCTCGACTCAGCCATCGCGACTGCGCCGTCCATGCGGTCGGTTTGCCATATTTACCTTTTCTTCACACCTATGGCTCACATGTTGCGCCAGCCGCCAGCCGCGACCCGCCTCGGTCCTCGAAATCTTCGTTCGCCGTCTGCGCTTGTTCCGCACGCTTGCCCGACCGCCTTGCTCTGACTGATATCAGCACCGCTTCCAGCAGAAGCCCCCCGAGCGCGCGCGCGCCCAGCAGGCCCCCGTGCCCCTCCTGCACGCATCTGCCACATCCGAGGACTCCGCCACGCCCACACCCGACGCGACGCCCGACGCGCACGCAGTCGCAGTCGCCGCGGCGCTGCGCATGCAGCGGGCTCTGGCTCTAGCGGCGGCAAGGTCCGGGAAGAAGGAGGCGACAGATGGGACTGCGGGGCTGGGGGAGAAGGAGGACCTGAGGGAGAGGGCTTCTCGCACGCGCGCGCGCGGCCGTTCTGGACAGTGGTAAGACGGCTGCGCGGGAGCGAGCTGGAGCTGTGCGCGCGGCGGGCGTTCTTCGCGTGCACACGACCGCCACGCCCGAAACCGCCGCCACGCCGCAGCCGCAGCCCGTGTCGCGTTCGCCGCGGCGCTCCGTATGCACGCGGAGCCAGAGCCCCTCGGATCCACGTTTCCCGTTTGCACTTGTCCTCCGCGTCCTCGCTCGTCTGCGTCTCTCTGCTGTCTTTTGTCGCCTTCGGTCGCCCTCTTGGATGGCTCTCCTGGCTGGCTCTCCGCGCCTCCGTGCTCCTGCAGCAGTCGGCCGCTCGTGCATCACTCCTCTGTCCAATTGCCTGCATGCTCACACCGGCGCACAGCACGCCAACAGTCGTCTTCACTGCCCTCTTGTTTGTCCAGCGCAACACCGGCCGTGAAGGTTGTCCCGTCCGCTGTCTCTGTGCACTCTCTCCCGTGATCGTCAGCACGCGCATCGCGTACAGGTGCGCCATCACATACCCGGACTTGGAAAACCACAGACGAGCAGCGATACGCATACCCGCTGCGAAACGTCGCTCGTGAGCACACGTCTTGCACTCCGAACGAGGTACGTGCCCTATATTGTGCAAAGCGACCGTTATCAGTGCGTGGACGACGCGCGACCGCAGCGTTATCTACCACGGGTCGACGACACCTCTCTGCATCCCACGCCCGGGACCATCTCCATCGGCGCTCATTGCTTGCGGAAAGGCGGCCTAGCAACGCACAAGGGATTCCGTGTCAGCCGCGTCTGGTGCGTCCTTGCGCCGCCCGGCTGCTCCTCCGTGCGTATTTCCTGCGCATTCCTCACTCCATTTCCTCATCCCCCTTTGCGCTGCTCACTCCTCCTGACGTCTCTACGCCACCGTACCAGCCCCAGGCACAATATCCCTGCCTCCCGCACCCGGTGCTTGTGCACCCCTTGCCTCGTTTGCACGGACATCCCCCGGATGCGGGCGCGACGGTTCGTCGCGATCTCGTGTCTCCCGCGTCTCCCTCGCGACCCAGTGTCAGATACGCGGCAGGAGATACGCGGTGGGAGGATGGCCGCGCGTCTGCTCACCCCTCGCGCTGGGTCGCGTCCAGGACACCAGACGCGCTGCTCGGCTGACGTCGGTGCGACAGACAGCACGGGCACATCGACTCATGGACATAGCCGCCCTGCCCGCCCTGCGTGCGCGACCCGCGTCCTCCTCGGTCATCCGAGTGCGAGGGTGTTGGAACAACGGTGCGAACGGCGCGGGGGCGCGTTTGTCCACGGGCGTAGCGATGCCCGTCAGGGACAATCGCGTGTGGTACGTACATCGCGCGGGGTCGTTATATACTACGATAGGGGCCTCCGGCCCCCGGCTACTCGCGCGCCCGAGCTTGCGAGCTCGTTCCTGACCGCGCGGGTCAGCGCGTTTCAACAGAGGGACATGCCGCAAGACGCACCGAGAGATTCGCCGCATCGCGGGCCTCGCGGCGCGCTGCGCACATGTACGTACGAGGCGCCGTTTCCATGGCACGCGGGCAGCAGCGGGCAGAAGTGCCCTGGGAGACGGCTCCCGCCCGTTATCACTTTTGCAGCCGCCTGTTGCGTGCGGTCTGCCGCTTTCCGGTGTTGTGGACAGAGTCGAAGGCTCTGCTGCGCGGCATCCAGCTGAGCGCGTGCACACACACACACGACGTTCAGTCGCGCGAAGCCGCTGTGCGTCCGCATCCTTGCCGGACAAGGGTGCTGCACTCGTGCGGCGCTCCTCTCAGCCTGGCGTTGGCCAAGCGTGCGAGCCCGCTGCTGTACGCATATTCTATTTGCGCGTATGCGCGTCCTGTCACCTTGTCGACGGGCGTGCGCATACCCTCCCAACGCGTCGCGCACGCTGACTTCCATTGTCGTACGGTGTTTCCGTCTGAGCGTGTGCCGGTGCGGCTAGCCTGCGAACGATGGGCGGCCGGCTCCTACAGCTAGGAAGCGGAATGAATTGATGCGGGAGGGACCAGACAGGAACAGGAACGGAAACGCGAGGCGGACGTGGGCGGCCAGAGCCGAGACGGGACACATGTGGGAGAAGACGAGAGAACGAACGGCAAGGGACGCGTGCGGAACGGCCGGCTCAGTGCAAAAGCAGCCCGCGCGGGCGCAGCCGCAAGGAGGATGTTATGGCGCATGCGCACACTCATCCGGGGATCAGATAGACGTGAACAGGCATTACATAGACGGCGCGCGGCACCGGATTGCGTGTACGTATTTTACACGGCAGCATTGACGCCGCCAACAGTGCAGGGCTCCACGGCGTACGCCCGTTCCCCGCGTCCACACTGTCTGTCGCTCCGTCCGAGAAATTGACACTACGATGGAAGTCTTAACTCGAGGCCGTCCGTGGCTGTCACTCCTGCTAGGTCGCAGAGTGGGCCCGTGTTGTCAGCTAGCTGCAGACATGTCGTGCGGCGGTCCCAGAGCTGGCCCAGAGCGCCGCAACGCGCAGAACGCAGCGTGATCAAAGGGCAGGCGGGCGGAGGATAATCCCTCGCATGCTCGCGAGATGCAGTCACGCACCATGACGACGTGGTGAATTCCAGTGTGAGATGGAGGGCCGGCTGCACCGCTCAGTGCGAACAAGTGTGATGTGCGAGGAGTGTCCGCACGCGATCCACTGCAACACCGGTGTTTGCGTCGCTGTCCAGTACGAACGAGTGCGACGTGCGAGGAGCATCCGCAGCTGATCTACCACCACTTACATGCTGCATGCGATGCATTGCAAGAGAGGCATTTGCGCGTTCTCAGATGGCCGCACACTGATATCTCGCACAATGGCTGCGGCAGGGCAACTGTGTTGTCTTGTCCTCCCACCACCGGCACGCCTCGACGCTCGACGCTCGCGCGCTCATGTGTGCGGTGCCGTCAAGATGAGCCGGCCATATTCGATGTCCGTAATGACACTGTATGAGGAGCGTGCTGGTGCCGTGGATCTGTAGACAGCCTTGTTATTTGCTCACAGTGTCGCGATTGATCTCTTCGTAGAGAGCGTGAGTTTTGTGGTACAGAAAAATGTCTGGCATGAAAACAGGGGTTGATGTGACCACCTCGCCTCGCCTCCTATGCACATGCACGGCCGAGATGCAATCGCAACAACAGGGTGCTCAAGCACGGGATGCCGCTTATCCCGCTGCAGTCCTAGCTACGTGGTCAGTTCACTGTATGTCTGATTTACTGTCCGGGGTGCTGACGATGATTGAGATCTGGTCGTGCATTGATGGCCGCGTCTAGGGGTTGTGTTGCGCGCAAAGCAAGACACAGTGCAGCACAGCATGGCGACCGTATCGTGTTTGGTGAGATGAGTTGGAAAGCTAGATAGTGCGGCTGAATGGATACTAATAGTCTTATTTAGGTGACTACGAGGCACGCGCCCAGGATATTCGAATCGCCTTACCTTGGCTGGCTGGTAAGATAATAGGACTGCGAATGCTCGCGGGAAATTAGCCGGGAACAGGGTCAATCGACGTGGGGGACACGGGCTGTTGAAGCAACTGGCAGCGATAGACATCAGCGCGGCACGCGGATGCGGGACTGTCGGGCAGCGTGGCTACACTTTGGGCTGGACCAGATGCGGGCTGTGCCAAAGGTGTCATAGTAAGTTTGGGCGTATCTTTTTGCAGTTGCACTGACCATTGAGCGGCGGTCTTGCAGGCATAGGCGGCGGCAAAAAAACAGGCGCCACGCAACCTCCAGAAGTGCAGTAAGCAGCGCGCGCTGACCGAAATGGCCCGCTGGGTGTGTTGGGCGTGAGCGGGACGCGGAGACGCTTCGAAGCGGTGAACTGACCAGGTGCAGTGTCCAGGTCTCCGAACGTAGTGGTGAGTCCTCGTGCACGGGATGGCGACCGCTTTTGCCTCTCGCAGGCGCAAGGGCGAACACGCACAGTAGCAGCAACGTGCGGCGTTGTATGCCCGGTCAGCATCCGTTGTGGTGGTGTTCGCCGTTGCTGGCCGGGCGGACTTGGATGTTGCAGCCCAGTGTCTTGTCCCCGACGCGCGACGACGCTGACCGGGACAGCGCGTGCTCCTGCGATGTGCCAGCGAGTTGGCGCGAAGCGTGCTGACCGAGCGGTACAGACGTTATCTGCACCAGGGATCCGCGCGCACAGGATGGAGGCTGGTGGCAGGATGGCGGCGCGCGAGGAGAGAACAATGGGCGGGGAGACGTAGATTGTACTGGACGAGAGTGTATCAGTGGCAGCAAGGCCTTTGAATATATTTTGTTGCAACTTGCTCTCTCTTGTGTGCCTCCAAGCGCCCTTACTCCCCGCCACTCCCCGCCGCTCTCTATTCCCCTTGCCTTGTCCCATCTCCTCAAATCCACTCGGTCTCTGCTCGCACGTTCACGAGACTCCAGCAGCCCTCATCGCTATGTCCATAGCGGGCCATTACCATATTAGGTGAGTGTTATGGTCTCGAATGTGGCGCGCTCGCGCTTAGTCACCGTGTGCGACGATCATAGAACCCTATGTTGAGCGGAAAGCCGTCTGTCAGCTGTCGACGGTCCAGCGAAGCGATGACAAAGAACATCATGACATGTATCTCAACCTCTTCTAGCCACTAGCCACTGATGGGTCTTCCACTGTGCGCCGCCTGATCAGATCGCTCGCTTTGGCCCGATCGCCTTTTGTTCTCTTTGTGGACATGTGGAGACAAAGCGACGCTTCTGCGGTGGACCGTCGTGACTAGCGCTTGCTTGCTGAGATATAAAAGGCGGCTGCGATGGACGACAAGCATCATCCGCCTCCCCTCTCCCGGCTCGATATCGCTTTCCCGCTCTTCTGCCCTCCAAGTCGTCACTCTCCCCTGCACACGGATGCCATGGGATCCCCGCGACCTCGAGGCGCGCGCTCGCTCTCCCTTCCTGATTCAATCGTCACACAAAGGTGCCCAAATGCCACGCGCATGGCATCCCCGAGAAAAGTGCCGTATACATACTGCCAACGACTTGGGACACAACCATCGAAGGCAGTATAGTCTTCGCTCCAGCAGGCACCCCGAGAGGCAAAGGTGTACAATTGACAGCCCTGCAACAAGGGCTTATCGAAAGATCTATGTGCAACGCGTCCAAATCGGTAGTCTGGGCTTATGGGGGCACATTTATCAAGATGTCAGTACGGGGGTGTTGTCGCGCTGTTCGTATACATCCTCACCTTTGTTCCTGCAGTGTCGTGGATATGACACACGAACCGCGGGGAGTGCAGATATCCATAATGTGGCCTTCCTCCAGCACACGCGCGCGCGACCGCGGCAGGTCCAGGCCGAAGTATTGAACCCCAAGGCCTCGATCGCGCACGGCAAGCCCATATTTGCCATCTGCGGGCAGGCAACCCAGTGTTGTAGTGAGCTATGGCGACACATGAAGGCCCATCCGGCTCACATGCATGGGACCGGAAATGCAAGACTACCTCGGTCCTGCGAGGTCCCTACAGGTACCACAGCGCATAGGACCGACTCGCGGGCTCATTCTCTACAGCAGCGACCCGGCCAGAACACCCTTCTGAAGCCTGCGCCTCATCGCCTTACCACGGTCACTATCTCCGCGAACGATGCCCCACACAGGACACTCCGTGATCACAAACAGCGATATCTCATAGCTCTTCCCTCAGCGACTTGCTCCACGATGCTAGCACTACCTAAACAACACACTGCGTCGGTCGTTCATAGCACCATCCACCGTCTTCCTATCACCATCAGTGCCACGCGCCACATACGCGCGCCTCCCGCCTCTGGTTCGCCATTGGCTCTGCGACCCGCAGCGGCAAGCACGCCCTTCGTAGTCCGTGTCCCATATTGTCCACGCTCGCACTGCTGTGTGTAGCGCAATCTCTACACACCCCTATGGACCTGCATGCACGACTACAGAGGGACTGGGCGGCCAGTACTCCTTGCAGTTACACCACACAGATCTTCTACGATCTTCTGGCCAGAGCGAAATCCCTGCGCACGCCACGACGCTGCACAGTCCGTGATCGCAAACAGCGATATCTCATAGCTCTTCCCTCACCAACTTGTTCCACGATGCTACCACTACTTGAACAACAAAGTAAATTCTCCGTTGTATCTAGATCAGCCACTCGCCTGCGCCGTGTATTGCTGTCGTGTAGTGTACCCCTCGTGCCTGCCATACAATGTCTGCAGCACGACCATCCATCCGGTGTGAGCTGCGCCGCGCGTGTGTGGCGCAGACAGCGGTCGTGACGTCGCTGCGATAGAAGAAGGAGGTGATAGATATCGGAAAGAAAAGGATGCGCCTGCCTGCGCAGTGCGGGACGCTATCTGACCCTCTACTATAAGGCACAAGACAGCTTGTTGGCGCATGTACTCTCCGGCACAGGGCGATGCCCTCCAGCGGATATAAAACTGTAAACCATATTCGAAAGAAAATACAATGTAGTGAAATGAACTGCCGTACCTGAAGATCGCGAGCCGTGCGCTCTTGTAGTAGTGGACTGAGGGAAAGCGCGAGACGAGGCGATCGCTATGTAAGCGGGTCACTACCATACCAGGTAGTAGGCGCATGAGTCACGTCGAACGGTCGATTGTGCAAAGTATCTGCGTTGGCCATCGCTATCGACACCACTGGACGGCCAATGCCTCAGCTCGATGGTGGGTTGCGCACGAAGCAGTTGATTGAGAGGAGACGGCACTCCAGGCATGTGATAGACGGCGATGACGCGGGCGCTCCGAGCGGGACGGACCCGGCGCTCTTGTTGAGGCTGCTTCTTGAGCTGGCTCTTCTCTTCTCTTCCTTGTGCCTTCGCTTGCGTCTGTGGCCATGGACGCCGTCACGCGACGTCTGCTCGTGCTCGCCTCCCTCGGCGTCCGCCTCCTCAAATACACCGCCTGCCTCGTCTTCCTCGTCAACCTCCGCTCCTGGCCGCTCTCGTGGCACTGTGAGCGTCCCCGCATCCGCGCGTGCTCTCCGTCTCACCCGCTTTCTAGTGCGCGTGTTCAGCCCGCTCATCGCGCTGCGCCTCAGATTGCACCTCCTGCGCCTGCGCCTCCTCTTCAAGCCGCGCCATGTCAAGCAGCGTGCCAAGGCGCAGTGGCTCGCGGCGCTGTCGCCGGTGGGCAAGAGCCCATTCGATGTCACGGTAGCTTGGAAGGGCTGGGCGAGTGAGTCTTCCGTGTTTCCTCCGTTGTTTTGGCCACACCCCACACCATCGCGACGTCCTTGGGGTCCGTTTGCCATATGTATCTTTGCTCTGAACCCGTGGCCCATGTGTGGCCCCAGCCACGGCCCGCCTCGATATCTCTGTTTTCCGTTTGCAGCGGTCCCGCACGCGTTCCGACCTTCGAGCTGACTTGACCGCCCCCAGGCCCCGACGACTGCGACTACAACCTCCACCTGAGCAACTCCTGCTACGCCAAGGTGCGCACGTTGTCGTCCGTGTCCGGGCCCATACGGTGTACGACATGCTGACCCCGCCTGCAGAGCTTGGACTCGGCGCGCCTCGCGCACGTGCTGAAGTGTTTCCCTACGTTCTTCCGCGCCGGAGGCTGGATGCCGCTCGGCGGTGAGTCTCCCTTCCTTCCCCTCCCCCACGCGCGCCCGTAGCCGCCCTCAACTCTGAGCCCTCACTGCCGAATACGACGCTGAACCTGCACACGCACAGGCACGCACTACACGTTTCTCCGCGAGATCCCGATTCTCGCGCGCTACGAGATCCGCGTCCGCATCGTGTCCTGGGACAACAAATGGGTGCGTGCGCCGTCAACGCTGACCGTCTCCGCGCCGTCCTGACCGCGCCGCGCAGCTCTTCCTCGTCGCGCACTACGTCACCAAGTCCAAGCGCAGCAAAACGCAGAAGAGGGCGGCGAAGCAGCCCGTCGCGGAGCACCGCCTGCCGCCGACGCCCCCCGAGCACGACACGCGCGCACAGCAGGCCCCCGTGCCCCTCCTGCACACGCCCGCCACGGCCACGCCGCAGCCCGCGCACGCCACGCCCGATGCGCGATGCGGCTCTGTGCGGTAAGAGACCTGGTGGAGTCCCGTGAGCGTGCGAGAAGAGACCGTATGGAATTGAGGAGAGAGGACAAGGCAAGGGGGATAGAGAGCGGTGGGAGAGGGGAGTAGAGAGCGCTGGGGAGTGGCGGGGAGTAAGGGCGCTTGTGGCGTACCAGGAACAGCAAGTCGCAACAAAATATATTCAAAGGCCTTGCTGCTGTCCATACTCTCATCCGGTACCGTCTATGTCGCCCCGCCCATCGCTCGCGCACCGCCGTCCTGCCACCAGCCTCCATGTGCGCGCGGATCCCTGGTGCAGATAACGTCTGTACCGCCCGGTCAGCATGCTTCGCGCCAACTCGCTGGCGCATCGCAGGAGCACGCGCTGTCCCGGTCAGCATTGTCGCGCATCGGGGACAAGACGCTGCACTGCATCTTCCGAGTCCGCCCGGCCAGCAAGAGCGCAAACAACGGATGCTGATCGCGAGCACAGCGCCGCGCGTTGCCACTGTGCCCATTCGCATTCGCCCTCGCCGCTTGTAAACGCGGTCAGCATTCCGTGCGCACCACCACAAAGGATGCTGACCGGGCACGCAACTCCGCGCGTTGCCACTGCGCGTGTTCGCCCTTGCGCAAAGCGGTCCCATCCCGTGCACGAGGACTCACCACTGCGTCCGGAGACCTGGACACTGCACCGGGTCAATTCACCGCTTCGAACCGTCTCCGCGTGACGCTCTTGCGAGTGTTGCGCTCCCAACGGCACGATACATGTTGTGCCCGCTTGGTCTTGCGTCCCGCTCACGCCCAACACACCCAGCGGGCCATTTCGGTCAGCGCGCGCTGCTTACTGCACTTCTGGAGGTTGCGTGGCGCCTGCAAGACTGCCGCTCAATGGTCAGTGCAACTGCAAAAAGGTATGCCCAAACTTACTATGACACCTTTGACACAGCCTGCGTCTGGCCCAGCCCAAATCGTAGCCACGCTGCCCAACAGTCCCGCGTCCGCATGCCGCGCTAATGTGTATTGCTTCCGGTTGCTCCAACGGCCCGTGTCCCCCGTATCGGTTGACCGTGTTCCCGGCTAATGTCCCGTAAGCACGACCAGTCCTATTATCTCTAAGGCAATCCGAATATCCTGGGCGCGTGCCTTGTAGTCACCTAAATAAGACTAATAGTATCCATTCAGCCGCACTATCCAGCTTTCCAACTCATCTCACCAAACACGATACGGTCGCCATGCTGTGCTGCACTGTGTCTTGCTTTGCGCGCAACACAACCCCTAGACGCGGCCATCAATGCACGACCAGACGACAATCATCGTCAGCACCCCGGACAGTAAATCAGACATACAGTGAACTGACCACAGCGGGATAAGCGGCATCCCGTGCTTGAGCACCCTGTTGTTGCAGGAAATCCATATGCTCCGCGCCATGCACGCCGTCTGCAAATGGCCACGAATCAAGTGCATATAACATGCGGGCGGGCAGGCAGGCAGGTCATAAACAGAAAGGAATTCACTCTGCGCAGAAAAGTAGCAAAGCAATAATAAGGGAAGTAGCGGGGAAAATATCAGAATGAAATTACACATCATTTATGTATAGTTTCGGCTAGTGCAAATTTTCTGATGGGTTCTGCCCACATCTTATTGGATGCCTTCCCGCAGAGGTCTGGACGCGATTGTAGAATAGAATCAACTTCTAAATCTTCACAGCAACGCGGCTGATCTGGCTGACCTCGAACATGACTGTTGCCATGCAGTTAGACGTCAAAGAGTCTGGATTGTCACGTTTGCATCTGGAGGTTATCACTTATTGGCAATCTGATGCCTGCCCGCGCTGGCCCGGGGTGCCGGAGCGTGCTCCTGCTGTCGATGACGTCCCCGGGGATGTGGCTGCCGTGCTGGGTGAGGTGGCGTCCTCCGATGCTGAAGACGCTGAAGACGACACACCATGAGCTGCGCCCGCTGCACGGCGGGGCATCGCTCGGCCCATCGCGCCCACCCCCCTCCTCCTCTTCTCCGACCACTTCTGCGTGCACCGAGGGCGCTGTTCCGCCTGGGGCCCTTGGTAGAAGATGACGGGTTGCCGGCTCAGGAGGAGCCTGGCTGTCTTTTCTCTCGCTCTCTTTCTCTCTCACGTGGTTTTTGCGCGTCTCGGACAGTGTGATCGCACCTTGCCCTCCATGCAGCCCCATGCTTTCGCACCCGTACATTACTACATCACTCTACTATATGACCCCATAGACACCACGCACAACAGGGGCGACACCGCCCGCGTTTCACAGGCCGGAGCCCGCCGCATCTTAGCACTATATGTTTGCTTGTTGCGGGATATAAATTCAGAATTCATCACCATCATATTGGCAACCTGATGGTAACGATGCCAACCCCCGTCACACCGCGCACGTCGAGTGGGCCCCAGGGCACCACAGTATCGCAGGTAATGAGCTTGCTGATCACTTTGCAAAGGAGGCTACCGAGTGCGCCGCCCCCCACCAGCATGCGTTCCGAGCGGGTGCCCTGCGAGAGGCGTGGGAGCGCGCAATCCGGGAGTGGACGCCAGTGGGGCCTGCCGGTTGCTTTGCGACTGCGAACCATCTTCTGCTGCAAGACCGGCCCCGAAAACACTTCCGCCAGTTGAAGAGCGAGGTATTTGGGCATGTCACCCAGTGCTGCACTAGGCACTGCTTCACCAGTGAGTACTATCGCTTCTTTGTCCCCGCTGAACCCAATGATTGCAGCCCGCATAGACAGACGCGGGCCCACATTCACCAAGACTGCCTGCGGTACGTGCCCCACTGGCACGTCCTCCGCGGCGTCAGCACAACCATCGACTTACCCACCATCTTGGGGACTGAAAAGGGTATCGCCGCGCTGGCGGTGTTCATTGCGCACAGCGGCACCTTCACAAAGTCAGGGGCTCCTAGGCCTGCGCAACCGGTGGTGAGGATCGAGGAGCTGGAGGAGGCTCCCGCGGCTGATGACGACCCAGTGGAAGCGGCCGATGTGGTCGGCGAGGTGCCGTCATATGCCTAGCAAGCAAGGTGAGCTGGCCACATCATCCCTGGTCTTCGTGCCAGACACTTTTATGTACCACATTACTCAGGCTCTCTACAAAGAGATCCATCATGCTGCCGTGAGTGGATAACACCATCTACAGACAAACCATCACTGTACTAGCACACAGTGTCATTACGGACGTCGAATATGGCCAGCTCATCTTGATAGCACCGCACAAATGAGCGCGCGAGCGTCGAGCGTCGAGGCGTGCCGGTGGTGGGAGGACAAGACAACACAGTTGCCCTGCCGCAGCCATTGTGCGAGATATCAGTGTGCGGCCTTCTGAGAGCGCGCAAATGCCTCTCTTGCAATGCATCGCATGCAGCATGTAAGCGGTGGTAGATCAGCTGCGGATGCTCCTCGCACGTCGCACTCGTTCGTACCGGACAGCGATGCAAACACCGGTGGTGCAGCGGATCGCGTGCGGACACTCCTCGCACATCACACTTGTTCGCACTGAGCGGTGCAGCCGGCCCTCCATCTCACACTGGAATTCACCACGTCGTCATGGCGCGTGACCGCATCTCGCGAGCATGCGAGGGATTATCCTCCGCCCGCCTGCCCTTTGAACACGCTGCGTTCTGCGCGTTGCGGCGCTCTGGGCCAGCTCTGGGACCGCCGCGCGACATGTCTGCAGCTGGCTGACAAAACGGGCCCACTCTGCGACCTAGCAGGAGTGACAGCCACGGACGGCGTCGAGTCAAGACTTCCATCGTAGTGTTAATTTCTCGGACGGAGCGACAGACAGTGTGGACGCGGGGAACGGGCGTACGCCGTGGAGCCCTGCACTGTTGGCGGCGTCAACGCTGCCGTGTAAAATACGTACACGCAATCCGGTGCCGTGCGCCGTCTATGTAATGCCTGTTCACGTCTATCTGATCCCCGGATGAGTGTGCGCATGCGCCATAACATCCTCCTTGCGGCTGCGCCCGCGCGGGCTGCTTTTACACTGAGACGGCCGTTCCGCACGCATCCCTTGCCGTTCGTTCTCTCGTCTTCTCCCACACGTGTCCCGTCTCGGCTCTGGCCGCCCACGCCCGCCTCGCGCTTCCGCTCCTGTTCCTGTCTGGTCCCTCCCGCATCAATTCATTCCGCTTCGTACATGTACGAGCCAGCCGCCCGTCGTTCGCAGGCTAGCCGCACCGGCACACACGCGGACAGAAACTCCAGATGTCGATGGTATTCGGCAGGCGCCACACGTTGGGAGGGTATGCGTGCGCGCGTCGACAGGGTGACAGGACGCACATGCGCGCAAATTGGATTTGCGTACGGTAGCGGGCTCGCACGCTTGGCCGATGCCAGGAGGAGAAGGACACCGCGCGAGTGCAACACCCTCGTCTGGCAAGGATGCGGACGCACGGCGGCTTCGCGCGACTGAACGTCGGGTGTGTGTGCGCACGCGCTCAGCTGGATGCCGCACGGTAGGGCCGTCGATGCTGTCCGCAGCATCGGGAAGCGGCAGACGGCACGCAACGGGCGGCTGCAAAAATGGCAACAGGCGAGAGGCATTTACCAGGGCACTTCTGCTCGCGCGCCATGGAAACGGCGGCTCGCACGTACATGTGCGCAGCGCGCCGCGAGGTCCGCGATGCGGCGAATCTCTCGGTGCGTCTTGCGGCATGTCCCTCGCACTCGGATGACCGGGGAGGACGCGGGTCGCGCACGCAGGGCAGGCAGGGCGGCCACGTCCATGGGTCGATGTGCCCGCGCTGTCTGTCGCGCCGGCGTCACGCGCGCAGCGCGTCTGGTATCCTGGACGCGACCGCGCGAGGGGTAAGCCGACGCGCGGCCAATTCTCCCGCCGCGTATCTCTCGCCGCGTATCTCCCGCCGCGTGTC